TAGTCATGCCTGATTGCTCTCCATTCTGTGCACAGGCCTTGGCTGGAGAAGTTGGAATGAGCAACGAGTTAGATGATGTAGCCAGGTCTCTTTTCCTCGGGCAAATCCCTAGTATCTGGAGAAAGCTTGCCCCTGACACGTTGAAGTCCCTGGGAAACTGGATGCCTTACTTCCTGCGGCGGTTCAGCCAGTACACGTTGTGGGTAAGTAAGATGCAACAGTCTCTTCATTGGTTCAACGTTCAGCCTGGACCACCTGACCACCTCCAGCCCCTCTCTAACTGCAGTGGTGCCTTCTGTTGGCAGTTGATTGGGTGTTCTAGAAATGGTCTTGGACTCTACAGGCATATCTGTATCTTTTTTGTCCTTTTCGTTTTGTTTTCAAGACTTTGAAGCATATTATGCACAATCTCATTTATTCATCTCGGAGTCCATTTTTGCCAAATGTACTTCCTTTAAGAACAAATACTTATTTAAAGATTTTAAATTTGGGGGATCCCTGGGTGGCTCGGGGGTTTGGCACCTGCCTTTGGCCCAGGGCGCGATCCTGGAGTCCTGGGATCAAGTCCCGCGTCGGGCTCCTGGCATGGAGCCTGCTTCTCCCTCTGCCTGTGTCTCTGCCTCTCTCTCCTCTCTCTGTGACTATCATGAATAAATAAAAAATAAATAAATAAATAAATAAATAAATAAATAAATAAATAAATAAATAAATATTTTAAATTTAGAGACACCTGGGTAGCTCAGTGGTTGAGTATCTACCTTTGGCTCAAGGCATGATCCTGGGTCCAGGGATTGAGTCCCACATCAGGCTCCCTGTGAGGAGCCTGCTTCTCCCTGTCTCTGCCTGTCTCTGTGTGTCTCACATGAATAAATAAGTAAAATCTTTTTTAAAAAGGTACAGGACTCAAAAAAGGACATTACTTGAAAAAACAGATTTTTAAATTTATTTGACAGAGAGAGGGGGCACACAAGCAGCGGGAAGGGCAGAGGGAGAGGGATAGGGAGAAGCAGACCCCCCACTGAGCAGGGAGCCCAACGTGGGGCTCAATCTCAGGATCCTGGGATCATGACCTGAGCTAAAGGCAGAAGCTTAACCACCTGAGCCATCCAGGTGCCCCTCTAAGTACATTTAGATCTACTTTAGTCTTTTTTAAGGGGACCCTGTTTTATAGATGTTCCATATCCTTTCCCCTGATGGACATTTAGGTGGTTCCGTTTGGGTTTTTTTCCTTTTTAGTCAGTGTGGACAACACTCTGGCGCACGTGTCTTTGCATTCTCACATGAGTCTATTTCACGGGTAAATCCCTACAACAGCAGAGTTGAGTCCCAGGGTGTGCACTTTGCACTCTGATAGCTCTTGTCAGATGGTCTTCTCGACAAGCGGAAACCACAGTGAACAAATACGATTATTTCCTTCCTCTCTGCCGCACTGGCTGTTCTTAATATTTTGGATTTTTTCTCCCTGATAGGTAAATCATAATATGTTAGGATAGGTAAATAATACTCTGTTTGGGTGTGCATTTCTTTAATTATGTTGAGGCAGAGCATATCTTACATACACGTAGGTACCTTCTTTTCCCGTGAATCTTTTTGTGTCTTGATTTCCTTTTTATCCAGTTCTCTATCTTTTTAAACTGATCTTTTAGAGCTCTTTGTGTAGCAAGATTAGCTCTTTGTCTGCCAGTGTTGCATTTCTCCCAAATTGTCATAAGTCTTTTGATTTTATGGCATTCTTTCCATAAGAAAGTTTTACATTTTTATTTAGTCAAGTGTATCAGTCTGTTCTTTTATGGCCTCTGGGTCTTGCATTCCCAACTCCAAGATCGTGACAACATTCATTGGTGATCTGATCTGGTACTTTTGTGGTTTCACTTCTTTTCTACCTAATCTTTGTTTCCTCTGGAATCTAGTGGTTCAGCTTATTTTCCCCAGCAGGCTGCCAGTTATTCAAATACCCCTCTTTTTGCCTCTACTGTGAAGTATGCTTTTATCATGAACTAAACTTCTGATCAGCTCCAGCCCTGGCACTTGATGGTGGCCCCCGGCTCCTGCCAGTTTCCCTCCCTCCCCTCCAGGTTACTGAGAGTGAGCCCAGTGTGATGTGGCTCTCGGGGCTGCACATCCCAGAATCCTACCTCACGGCCCTGGTGCAGGCCACCTGCCGGAGGAACAACTGGCCACTGGACCGCTCCACCTTGTTCACGCAAGTGACCAAGTTCCAGGATGCAGATGAAGTAAATGAGCGGGCAGGACCAGGTACAGTCAGCTCGCGGTGGAGTGTCCCTCCTCGGGCCACCCCCGATTCAGAGGAGCAGGAGTATGTGGGCCAAAATGGGCCAGGCCATGTTTGAAAATGAGCTAACATTGGTTAACTGCTGCTAACATTGGTGCTGTGTGTGTACTAACCGTGTCTTGACCTCTCTGCGGGTGAATACATGGGCTTCTCTTCCAGTTTCAATGCCGAGACCTGGGGTTGATGTCATAGGGACCTGAACCATGTTCACCCTGCTTGTTTGTGGGAGTAGCCTCCTCGGTCAGAATTAGATCCTTCAAAGAACTGGATCCCTGAGGGCTTCTCTGGAAACCCTGAGGGGCCAGGGAGGTGGGTGCTAAGAGGGCAGGTCAGACCAGGTTGGACCCGTTAAATTATAACATCAGGTCCCTTCAGCATTGGTGACTGGTGCCACAGACTGGCTGGGAGCTGCCATTTCCCAGGGCTGTGCCCCATAGAGGACCTTTCACTGTGAGCAGCAAGAGCCCTTGAGTGAGCTTGGAGTTGGGGTTCATGGTGGAGATTCAGGGATGCTCACTGTCCCCATAGCACAAGGCCAGCGAGGTTTCAGAGGAACTGGCAGGTATCAGGGCCACCACACTCTCTGGGCGAGCGACTGTCCTCTGCTACTGTGAGAGTCTGCGTGTTCTGCTCCCCAGACACCATTTTCTCTGCCAGGCTTTGACTTTCTACTCCCACTCCCTCTGGCTCAGGAGGAGTTTGGGATTGCTGTGGTACCAACTGACTGGTGCTTCTGTCTTTATAACCTGGGGGCCCAAGCGGTCTAGGTCTGTGTGCCTTGAAGCAGATTTCTGTGAGAGGCAACCACCCCTTGTCTCCTTGGCCAAGGCTGTGGGGAGGGGGGGCTCCTGAGGTCTACAGTGTCCTTTCTGGGATGTCCCTCCATAAAAGAAGAAAGGACGACCACCTCTTCTGGAAAATGGCCTGGGCTGTGTCTGGGGGAAGGAAAGCCAGCTAGTTGCCTTTGTGTGTGTGTGCTACCGACATCTAGTAGAGCTGCTGCACAGCAGCATTGCTGGTGCCTCCATGTAAATCCTGGTCTCTTCCTGGTATCTCTAGGATGCTTTGTCTCAGGACTGTATCTAGAAGGCGCTGACTGGGATGTAGAAAAAGGCTGTCTTATCAAGAGCAAACCCAAGGTGCTGGTGGTTGACCTGCCGATCCTGAAGATCATCCCCATTGAAGCCCATCGCCTCAAACTGCGGGTAGAAGGCTGACGCCTGCTCCTGTGTACCCCCCTCCCCCCACTTCTTAGCGTCGGGTCACACATGGGGTGGTTCAGACAGTCTTGCCCTTTAAAACACGGGTGCTTAACCTTTTGTGGATGGGAGAAATCTTGAGACAGGACAGAAGCTTGGAGCCACACATGTGCACTTGTAAGCAGAGACTCCCTGGGCAGCACAGCTTCACGCGCAGAGCTGTGATCCGGCCTGACTTCAGGAGAGACTCCTCCCTTCCCATCACATTCTGCGGACATTGCTTGAATCTTAAAGTACTTACATCTGGCATGGCAGCAGGCGCCTCCTGCCTGGCCCCGAGCCCAGATCTGCTTTTAATGTGTCTGTGGGAAGCCCTGTCCGCCTTCAGTTAGCGGAGGGAGGCCCGCAGAGCCTCGGCCAGGGCTCGTAGGAGGCACACTGCCCTCGGCGCTAAGGTGGAGTGGCACATTCCCCTGGGCCTGAGCTCCTGTGCCCTCTGTGGGGATCTCACATACGTTTCCTTTGCAGAACACCTTCCGGACGCCAGTCTACACCACCTCCATGAGAAGGAATGCCATGGGAGTCGGCCTGGTGTTTGAAGCTGATCTCTTCACCACGAAGCACATTTCTCACTGGGTGCTGCAGGGAGTGTGCCTCACCCTGAATTCCGATTGACTGGGCGAAGAAACCCACCCCGTGAGCTCCATCTGGGATGACGGTGGTAAATGGGAATTTGTCAATCAATAATGGTCATGTCCCCGGTCCCCTCTTGGGGCCTGGAAAGGCTGGAGGTGGACTCTTTCCATATAAATTAAGCTGATGGTTTTATTTTTCAGCTATTTCTAAGGATTCTGCATATTTGAAAAGTAAATACTAGAAAGCATTTTAAGGTATGTCGTTTTCTTTCCGTTCTGAGAGGAGACGTGTGATTAGGCAAAGATGCCGGGCTGCTGGGTGGGGTCACCAAGTCCTCTTCCAGGGCCCATAATACTGCCCAGAGCAGGGATGGCCACCCCTCCCACCTTCCAGAGCTGTCCAGCCCACCAGCTGGGGGTGGGGAGGGACCTTCGGCTGGTGTGGAATTCCCACCACCTGGCCGGGTCTGTGTGGCACTGCATGCAGACTTAGAACAGCCCGCTGGCTCCTGGGCATCCCTTCCTTCTGGCACCCTGGGGCCAGGCCTGCTGGAGGGGAGGAGTGGCTTTACTCTCCAAGGGTGGAGCAGGGTGGAGCATCAGCAGGGTAGAGGGGCAGGGGCCATGGGCCTGAAAGCCATGGGCCTGAAAGCCTACAATCTTCATTGGGGCAGCTCTGGGCAGTGCCGTAGAATAGGGACTCCACTTTCTGGAAGACAAACTGCCACCACTGGGCGGGAGCCCTGGCACATGACACAGGGTGAGAATGCAGTAGTGACTGAGGGGCCAGCTGTTTCTGCCCCTCCCACAGCCTCCCTCCTGCCCCCACTCCTCCCTCAGATAGCTTAATAAAAGACACAAAACAGAAAGAGGCAGGTTTAGAAAATAAAGTTTGTTGGGATCTTGAACATTTTGGATAAAACTAACAAAAACTATGAACACACATTCAGATTGTGGTGATATGAGAAGTAACATCATCTTATTTAGTTCCTGTGATATACACATACAGCTGGTCAGCTACCGGTGCTGCCCTGGGCAAGGCTTGTTGGGAGGTTACAGGGTCTCCAGGTGGGAGCAGGGGCTGCTCCGGACGGGCTGCCCTGGAAATTGGAGGGAGAGGGTCAAGGTCGGTCGGCATGTATTGCTCCGACTGCATAATGAGGCGTGTGACTATCTGATTTCATTAACGCTGAGTAGTGATGCAGCCTGTGGCCTGTGCTTTGTCCACGAGCGCACGGACGTTACACAGAGTGGGATTAAAAGCAAGCGATTCGGCACACAGGTGTTTGGCCACAGCAATTAGTAAATACATATTCTGCAGCAGGGACACGATCGTATTCTGGTGTCAGTGAGAGGGCAAGAGGAACAGGAGAAGAATCTGTTGACAGGTCTGAAAAAAATTTGGCATGCATGGGAATTTAAAAAAAAAAAAAAGGTGTGGATGAGTTTTTCCTAGTAGCAATCACAGTGCATCGACAGCCAAGGGTGAAGGGTTGCCTGGAGCAGGCCTCACACAGTTCTGTCCGTCCCTGAGTGCTTCCTCACAACCTTTCCTCCATTCACCTGGTCGACTGCCAGCGTCTCCAGCTCAGGCTGGGTGTGTGGTGGGGCAGCATGGTGGATGCGATGGGCCACCCCCACATGAGCCTTGTGTTGCTGCTCGCGGGCTGGGCTGTGCCGCTCACTTGAGCTGCGGTCGGAGGCGATGGGGGGGATGACCAGAGGCCTCTCCTTGATGAGATGGGCCTCAGCTGACTCCCTGGCCAGCAGGAATGGGGTGGGGTCAGGCATGGCATCCACTGGCTCCCGCAACAGTAGTTTCCGGCTCTCGGCCCCAAATCTGTAGACCTCTTCAAATTCCGGGTGCAGGGGGGCGGAGAGGCTCTTTTTCATGCGGCGGCGGGGTGTTTCAGGCAGCTTGTCCTTGGGGGGGGCCGGCTTGTAGCCAGCCGGCACAGGGCTCCCCGATGGGCTGCCATCCGAGGTCCCACTGGCGCTCATGAGCTTTCGCTTGGCGGCGTGCAGTTGGGCAGTCAGGTAAGCGATGGTGCTGGCGCGCTGCTCCAGCTCGCCGGACAGCATGTTCAGCTTGTGGCTCTTCACCTTGAGCTCCTCCAGGTACTTCTTCTCCCGCTCCTTGACGGTGTTCTCCAGCACCACGATCATGGCGTTCTTCTGCTCCAGCTCTTTGAGCAGTTCGTTGTTCTCTTCCTCCTGCAACTTCAGTTGGGCTTCCAGTTCTTCACATCTTCTCTTTAGTTCACTGCTTCTGGAAGACCCATCTCCTAGAAAAGCAAGCCGAAGGATGGGTTTAAGACACCCCCTCCCACCCGCCGCCACCACCCCAAGCAGAGGTAGGGAGTCCTCCTGTCTAGGCTGGCCCCTCTCCCCAGCATGGGGATGGGTAACAGGGCTGCCAGGGGCCACGGGCATCTTGCCCCTGCCTCCATCACTCTCCCTTCACCAAGGTGGGGACCCGTGCCCTCTGAGTTCCTTCCAGCTCCCGGTGCCCTGGCTCATTGCACAGAAGAATGCCTCCACACTTCAGAACTGCTCAAGTCACAACAGGCAGTCTCGGGGTATTGGAACAGTGAGCAGATCCCTGTCTGCTTGGGCAGCATTTACTAAGTGCCTGCTTCATTTGAAGCACCATTTTGAAAGACAATTAAGCACAAACTCTGAAGCTGCAGAGAGATAGGGGAGGCCACCACCTTCCCTGCCGCACGGGCCCTCTGTCTCAGCATGTCTCAGAGTGGTGGGTATCCCTGTGCCTGTGCTGGGGCTCTGCCTTGGCCATTGACCCACCCCATGTGCACCCACCACCAGCCGCTCAGGGATGCCCCCGGGCTGCGGGGGCCTGTGCAGGACAGGGAGCCGGCATCTGCGGGCACCTCTCACATGAGGTAGTGGTGGGGTGAGTGGGGACCTGACGCCAGGGCTATGGATCGATGTTTATTGGCTCCCAATTTGGATCTCTTCTGTCCACCTGCCCCCGCCTCCCTGAGACTCCAGAGAGCTGCTCTTTAGTTCCCAGGGATCACCACCTCCAAAGTGGCACCTCTGATTTCCACTCTTCTATAGGAAGCTCTGCTCCACCTCCTCCACCTTTCTAGAAGTTCCAGTCTTTCCCCATAAAAGCTGCATGTGCACTGAGCTGAGGCAGCAACTGCTCTTTATCACCTACAGCCAGACTCCCCAGCTGCCCAAGTGCTCAGTCATAGTGTCACTTTTTAAGAAATAAAAAACTTTTTTTTTAAGTCACCAAACATGGGGCTCAAACTTAAACCCTGAGAGATCAAGAATCACAGGCTCTATGGACTGAGCCAGCCAGGCGCCCCTCACTGTAGCATTTTTTAAACACATTCTCAGGTCCCCTCCTTGACCCTTGGAATCAGAACTACAGGAGAGGGAGTCCAGGAGCCTGTATCTTCACCCTGGGTCCCTAGACTGAGCAAGTTCTTCAACTGCTAACATAAAGCAGTGATTTCCAGTGCTGGGAGGGGGAGTTGCCCCCACCAGGACCAGCTGAGAACTCTCCAACTGCCCCCACAGGAGACACATTGGACACACTGTCACCTTGGGCCCCTGCTGCTGCTGATGGTGGGTGTGTGGCCTTGGGATTTAGGGCTGAGAACCTCGAGGGGCTCTCTAAAGGCCAGGGGAGGAGGAATCAGGCATACGAGCTCCTTCCTCCTGTATGTAGAGGGTTCAGGGCAAGAATCATGCTTCTTCTGAACAGCCTGGCCAGGACGGGGCATGGAAGTGAGGACACCCTGATTCCTGCAATGTGGATGGCAGGGGTGCAGGACACCCTATTCTCCTGAATCCCTGGAAGCCCACATCCTGGCCCAGGGATATGGGGGTGAGGGGGGAGAGAACCTGGCAGCGCAGGGTGGGCTCTGGTCTCCAGGCTCCTCCTCTGCCACACAGACAAAAGGACATCTGGGCCCCTGAAAGGTATCCTTAGGAGACTGTAACCTGAGTGCCACGAATAGAAAAGTCAGTGCTTGGTCATGCACTGAGACCCATGGAAAGGTCTGTGTCTGTCACCAGGACTCGGACACACTCATGAATAATGACTGCCATTGTGCAGCCTATTTAGGAAAAGGCATCTTGACTCCAGTATGGATTCTGCACTTTCCAAATCCTCACTCAGTTCCAGGGAGCAAGCTATTTGTTGTTGGACACAGAGGCCCCAGTTCTAGCTCCTCTGCCCCAGATGCCATCAGGATGTTATCTTTGGGGCTCCCTGAGGATTCTGCTTGGGGGAAGAATTTCTGGGACTGCAGTCTATATAAAAGCATTCACGATCCTTTGGGGACTGTCTAGTCATTTGGTGGCTCATTCAACCAGTGTGTCAGGAGTGCCCGCTCTGTGCCAGGTCCTGGGAGAGGCTTGAGGGACAGAGGAGGAGGGACCCTGCTCCTTCTCCTCTTTCTGGCTTATCTAGCAAATACATTTTCTTCTAAATATGTAGCTAGTGAACAAATGGCACCAACATGTGCCATAATGGGAAATAATATTGTTATTCACTTTTGGGGAGGACATTCTTACCTGTCTGGTCTGAACTTTTGACGGTCAGCTCATATGTTAAATCTAAAAATGAAACCATATACATTAATTTTGTATGTTTACAGTAGGTTTCAAAGCCTTTATCAGCTCTGAAAAATGCAGAACTGATTCCCATGATCAGCCTGCGAGTTCTGCCCAGACAGAGCAGGGTTTGGCAGTATTAGTGGCAGGCGTGCAAATGGCAGGAACCACCCGTGGCCACTATCCTTCGTAGGGCTCAGAGAGACCCTCCCTTCCCTCAGGCACACCCCAGCATCCATAGTTAGCAAGCAGCTTGCTCTGTATGTTACACTTTGGTGATCAGTTCCAAAATGCACTGTAAATCCTAACCATTGCATTTTGATCTTCTAAGTCCTCAGTATGCCAAGAAATGGCTTTGCAGCTTTACACTTGGTGCATGTCGGTTAGGCAAAGAGATGAGGGAAGACACTGGAATGGATTCCAGCAATGGTGGGCTTAACCATGTCAGAGAGAAGAGTGAAATCCCTTCTCACTCCACTTCTAAATGAGTCTGGCACGGCTCCTGAGCCAATTGCTGTGTGAGACAGTCCCGACAACGGGCCCTGCTTTGCTCCACAGCCTCGGCAAGCCTGGAGGCCCTGCTCAGGAGGTCGTGTGGGGCCCTGGTACCTGTGCAGTGTTGCTGCAGCCGCCTGATCTCGGCGTGCAGCCCCTTGAGGGTGCTGGCGTGTTCCCGCTGAAGGAACAGGAGGTTCTTCTGGGCACTGTGCAACTGGTTCTCCAGGTTTGTGGCTGCCATGGTGACATCCAGATGACCTGCGAGAAACAGACCCTGGTGGCTGTCCCTGACAACAAGGGTTGAGGGGGCCAGGCTGGAAGAGGGTGCCGCCTGCAGTCTGCCCTCCTTGGCTTTGGGGAGTTGCAGGCAGCATGAGGCTGGGGTCCAGAGGCAGAAGAGGTACATCAGGCCTGGGTTCCCTGGTTCCAAATCCTAGTCTTTCCACATGCCACTGAGTTTCAACAGACTGTGACCCAAACTGCTAGACTGCCAAAGATTTCCCTGACAGTGTGGGTACATGCTGACAGCATCCTCACAGGAAAATCGGGCACCTGGGCAATGAGGTGAACATTTCCTCAAAATGGTATTGAGAGCTGGCCAAAGCAAGCAGCAGAAGGAAGAGGTGTGGAGAATTCTAGAAGGAAGTCCCTGGATTTCAGAGCTGAGAGGAGCCCTACATCTTTCTTTGGGAAAGGGCCATGTGGTGACTATGGGAATCTGGAGTCGGTCCCTAAAACCTGCCTCCCACCCACAGTGGCTTCAGTCATCAGCAGCTCACTCAGGGCCTCAGATTCTTTGCCTTTACTGTAACTCGAGAAATGTGGTGAAGTCAATTGGGCTTTCTGGAAAAGCAACTAAAGAAATTCAAGACGCCTTGCACAGCACTGAAAAATGCAAAAGACTAGATGTGGATTATTTGCTCAATTATTCTTGCAAATGCAGAACCTTAGAGGGCATTTTTCCTCATTTGCTATGCCAAAGAGCCCTCCCAGAGGAGACACCACTTCTCAAAGGGCTTCCAGTCTGTGAACGGCTCTGGTACTATCACTACATTGGGTGACACCCATCACTGGGATTTGCAAGTGACATATTTACACCCCAGCTATGGAGCTAAGAAAAGTTCATAACTGGAACTCAAGATATGTGTCTTCACTCACAGGGAGAAGCTTCCTGAGATGTCCTTGGGCCCCAGGCTTTGCTCCAAAGGAAAGTTAAGGAGGAAATAGAGTGCGGCAGGCAAGCCAGAAAGAGGGAGAGTATAGGGAACAGGTACAGAGGAACAAAAGGACATTCTGGGGGGAGGAATGCAGTGAGGGGACACAGCACAGCACAGCATCTGGTGGCAGTGTTAGCCACTTCCCCTTGGCTGGGGGCAATTTGGCAAAGTCTGTCTAGAGCCTGGGAGTATATTATCCCTATGACTTTGCAATTTCATTTCTAGGAATCGACCAAAGGACAAGATTTACTTTTGTGTGAAAAGAGACAGCCATGACAATGGCCATGACAGTGCAGTTCACAGTCAGAAAAGACCAGAATCAGAATCCAACAAGAGAGAACTGGCTAAGTAAATTATAGCGATAGTTCTAGGGAACAAAGATGAGATTTCCCAGGCCTTTAACTTGACTTCAAGCTGGCTACGGCTGAGGCCAGGGTGGAGTTTCCATCAGAGTTTTTCCACTGGGAGCTGTGAACAGCCTTCCAGTTTCCACCACAAAGGCATGTATGTCTCTGCTGCAAGCACAAGGGTTCCTGGCCAGAACCTGGGTCAGGCAGGGACATCTACCTGGGACCCCAGGGTTCTGGAGAGCCCATGTCACCTGGCCAGCATGTGGTCTGGAGGCAGGACACTGACTCTAATGCAGGAGCCAGCCAGGCCAAGGAGCAGAGGGGGCAGACCAGTGTGCTCCTGTGAGAAGGAGCCCCCTCTGCCGTCCTGCTTGATGCTAACTTTATAGGCACGCCTTGCTCAAAGAAAACAGGAAACACTGAAATTTCAAAACCTTTGTCCAGCATTGATAGTACAAGATGATATGTGCCCATAACCTACCAGAGGGGGCAAGGCAGGAAGGAAAAATATAACCTCAGTGGCCACCCCGTTCCAATGATGGTGTGGTACTGCATTTTATTTGTAACACATTTAAATCTGATGTAAATAAGCCTTCACATTCTAATTGCCTCAGTGAATCAGCAGCTTTGAATTGTACTAAATCTGTAATTTGGGCAGCCCCGGTGGCGCAGCAGTTTGGCACCGCCTGCAGCCCAGGGCGTGATCCTGGAGACCCCGGATCGAGTCCCACGTCAGGCTCTCTGTATGGTGCCTGCTTCTCCCTTTGCCTGTGCCTCTGCCTCTCTCTCTCTGTCTCTGTCTCTATGAATAAATAAATAAATAAAATCTTTTAAAAAATAAATCTAATTTATTAGTTCACCGCGGCAAGCACAGAAATAAGAATGTGCCCTTGAAGCTTCCCATTGTCACAGGCAGAAAGTCTTGGAAAGAAACACAAGGTGAACAGGAAGACTGTGACCATATAACATGCAGAGCTGGCAAGGGAGCCATGGTGACTCCATTTGGGGCCGTGACAGTGGGAGGACAGGGGTTTTCAACCCTGTAGCACTTCACCTGACTGGCACTCTCTCCTTCTCCACATTCTGCTGATGTAACAGGCCTGAGTGAAGAGACACTATCCGTGCAGGGCACCCTCCAGCTGTAGGATACATACCAACAGTGCAGGCCCGCTTAGGCCCGAAGAAACAAGTCACGTCTCCAAATGGCATCCAAGCCATTTAATTAAATGATTAGTAAATCATTTTCCATTAAATCATCTCCATTTAAATCATTAAATGATTAGTAAATCATTTTCCATCTGCTCAAAAGGCTAACAGTATCACTGACTTCTCAATGACAAGGAATTGCTGGAGCTTACCAGAAAGCCATGCTTTAAATTTCTTATCCTTAGCTCTTGTTTTTTTTTTAAATTTTTATTTATTTATGATAATCACACAGGGAGAGAGAGAGGCAGAGACATAGGCAGAGGGAGAAGCAGGCTCCATGCACCGGGAGCCCGACGTGGGATTCGATCCCGGGTCTCCAGGATTGCGCCCTGGGCCAAAGGCAGGCACCAAACCGCTGCGCCACCCAGGGTTCCCAACTCTTGTGACATACAATTCCATGTCATGACCTAATCCTTCCAGTAAATTGTCAAGAATGAAGCTACGGAAGCCTCTTGTTTAGGCTCTGGAGACACAGCTGAGAGGTGTGGCTAATTTGGAGGAAGAGAGGAAAGTGGTCCTGGGAGGCTTAATTCAGAAGCTCTGAGACACTTGGGGAGTCAGAGACATGAAGGAGCATTCATGACTCATCCCTGAAAAGGTCAGCATGATCGATGAACATAAAAACACAGGGCATCTACTACCCATGAATAATGCATCTTGCTTGAGCAAAGGCATTCATCCTGTCTCAATGGTGTGTCAACCAGTAATGGAGGGCGACACTCACAGAGCACAGCTTTGCACAACACTGCACTTTCTGTGTCAAAAGGGCATTTGCTACAAATTGTGGGTTCTCTGTATTGCAGGTGTTTGTCTTGAGGAATCCGATTTCATTTCCAAGCATCACTGGGAGCTGTCAGCAATTTCAGTTATTGGCTCAGCACAGCCTGGACACTGCCCCCCCCCTTTCTGCTCAGAGATACTGTCCTTAGCTGCAGATGATGGGCTTCCAAGTGACTGGCATTCCAGGACCCAGCCACAGGGTTGGCCAGAGGGTAGGGCCCATGCCCAGGGCGTGCACACCTCTGCCAGGAGAACTCCAGCCAAAGCAGCGGGCACAGGCATCTCGGAGGGAGACCTGCTGAATAGGCCACCTTGACCACAATTTGGAGGTTAAGCCACATATGCATTTTTTTCTGTGGTAAATTCACTAGGTAGTAAATTTCTGTTAATTCTGCTATTCATTCTACATGTTCAGCAAATGAATGCTTGACAAAGGCTTGCTGTTCTGAATTCTAAAGACAGGTTTTAGAGAGCTGGCCAAGACTGCCTCCTAGAGCAGGGAAGGATGCTGACACCATCTCTTGGTGATAACATGCTTTTAATGAAGGTCCTTGGAGAGACGTCAGCTCCAACCTCACTGAGGCTGCTCTGTGGCAGCATGAGGACAAATAGCCTGTCAGTAGCTCGAGTCCAATTCTCATCCTAATTCAAAAGTAATGTTCTTTCCTCTCTTACAGGGCATTAATGTATAAATGATGATATGATAATTTTATTTATGGGCCATCTCCACTTGTACAAGCACAAAGTGCTCTCCTATCACTTACGTTGTTTGTTCTCGTAATACTCCCCTGAGGAAAAACAGGAATATCCCACCAACAAGGGAAAACACAAATCAGAGAATGCTGCATCTGAGCCTTGCAGCTTCTCTGGGCCCTCAGGCTCTGTGGGCAAGAATCTTGAAGATGTAGGTAGGTATCAATTCCACACAGAAAATCAGACACTTTTCCAAATGTGTGCATTGCTAATACTCTGACACGGCGGGGAAGTGTGTAGGGTACCTCACAGTGGCCTCTCAGCATGGGGAGTACACTGTTCCTCCAGCTGCACCAGACCCGGGCAAAATGACAGCCTGCTACTGGGGCCCACTAGGGCTCACCAGGGCCCAAAGGCTCTCTGCTCTCCACGTTAGACAATGACCAAAGGGCACTGTCCATCCAGGATGGCAAAAAGGCTCGCCAGTGAAGTTTTCCAGGAAACTGGCTAAGGGCAGGATATTCTGGGCCTAGCTGGAGCCTTCATGAAGTCGCTAAGTCAGCTTGGGGAGGAAGAAGGCACACACAGCATTGCATGTGTGTCCTGGTCCAGGGGGTCCAGCCATATACCTACTCCGAAAGCCAGGGCCACACTCCCTCTTCCACTGAGGCTGACTTAGCAATGAGTCTGTGCAGGGCTAAAAAGCTGCACCTTGGTCCTGCTGCCAGGAGCAGCTCTGGTGCTACCATGGGGAGGAACTAGAACCAGACTTGCTTTTGCCACCTTTTAAACACCTACTTTTTCTTCAACATCCCTCCTAAGCGTACACACAGATCTTACCTACATCTTCATCTGCAAACACGGCTCTGATCATGTTGCATCCATGCAATGCTCTTGGGATCCAGCCTCCATTGCCAGAGGGCCTGCCTGATTGGCCTGCTCTCCCCAGCCTCACCCCACAATGTCCCCTTGGGGCTCCACACTGTAGTCCTCCCTGACTTGGTCTGCCACC